ATTAATGTAGGGCGTAAATTATACAATATGCTCCATGTACATTGTTGAATTTGTTGAGCTCTGCGGGATGTTGCCTAAATGGTACACACACACAAAACATATTCTTTTTTTGAACTAACTTAATAGCAAACGGCGTGTTTCCTCAATTATATACATAGGTAAAGCTAAGCTTTCAGTTACAACAACGATGCTGAATACCCGAATAATTTCGAGGTCAGAATGGCATGGCATGTTCCTTTTGATAACCGAAATCTGAGATTTATTTGAATGCAGAACTCACGAAGGGTGTGATTTGCTATCAGCTGAATAGCATAATTGTCAATAGAAGTGAATATGTGAGTTCCAGGAGGCTCCTGGGAACTCAGAACCGAGAATGACCTCGTTATCGTGCCGGCGGACAGGGGGCGGTCCACTGACGCATTTGACAAGATAGATTGCATTCAAAAAGCTCAAACTTTGTTAGACAATCGTCAGTCCTACGTCCCATGCAAACCAAACTCCATAAAAACGCTGACATTCGAGATCAACAAAACGCTGTTTGTAATGGAGAACTCAGGTGCAATATCGCCCATGGCGAGAGCACAAGAAAGGGCTCTGGCCCGCTTCTATGGTCTCCCCAAGGTGCACGAAGAGGGTGCACCCCTCCGAACAATCCTATTTCTCAGAGGAGCTCCAACCTACGGACTGGGAACGTGGCTGTTCTGACGGCTCAAATTCTTGACCGCTGATTCAGGCACAACAGTCAGGTCTTCATCACAGTTCCTGGGGAAACTTAAAGGGGTAAGCCTCCTGCCAAACATTTTCAAGGTATCTTTTGATGTCACGTCCATTTTTACTTCTATTCCACAGGACCTGGCAGTCGAGACTATCCAATTACTCTTACGAGATAAATACGATGAAGCGGAGAATCGCCTCGGGCACGTCCAAATCTTCCACCTCCTAAATTTCTGTCTCAAGATGTATTTTAACTTCAACGGAACTAGCTACGAACAGGTGAAGGGAACATCCACGGGTTCGCCCATTTCCGGACTCTGAGCAGAGGTGATCCTGCAACGGTTGGTGTCACTGACTTACAAACACCACAGACCAAAATTCTGGGCTAGGTGTGTGGACGAAAAATTCGCCGTAATTGAGTGGGATCTGGTGCTGAACATCTAAAGGCCGTCTTCCCGGACATTCAGTTTACGATTAATGAAGAAGAAAACAGCCAGTTGGCCTTCCTGGATGTCTTCGTTTGCCACAAAGACGGTGGTAGTCTAAAAATGAAGTGTTTAGGAAAGCATCCAACATTATGAAAGTCCTGTAATTTAACAGTAACCTCCCGATCAGTCACAAACGCAGCTGCGTAAGAGCGCTATACCGGCGCGTTGCGACGCATTGCAACGAAGTGGAAGACAAAGTTTCTGGACTACAACACCTTCGGTGGGTACTGAGAGCGAATGGTAACCCGCGCAATTTTGTCAACCAGTACATATGCAGGTGAGAGAAGAAACCACATCCAACTGGCCTAACAGTTTGGCGAGCTCCAACGTACGTGAAGAATGTATCGGAAGCGGTCAGCCGCCTGCTCATTCCACTTGGAGTTGCTCAAAGGCCAGGAGCAACCCTCAGGCGCCGGGTCATGAGACCGAAAGAGCCACTTCCATGGCAGGAAACGGCTGGAGTCGTTTACCGCATCTGGTGCAGTTCTGAACAAAGCAACTTCTTTGGAGAAATGGGGAGATTACTCCAGACGCGAATGGACGAGCACATAGCGGCGGTGGGGAAAAATGACGCTAACTCCCAGGATGCAGCTCACTGGACGGGACCCGACCATATTTTGAAATTAAAGGAGGCCGAAATCCTCGCAAGAGGTGACAACTGCATGAGGCGCGAGCTACTCGAGTCATAGTTCTCAGGCCCGCAATTAATCAACAAGGGCAATGATTCGCCTTTTCCCATAGTGCTTAATGAGACATTGCCTGAGCAAGACCATCAGTCACGTGGGAAGGGCCGAGCTGCGCAACAGCTTTGACGACAGCGAGCATAATTGTTGCGCAATTATCAAGCCCGCATCTGACACGGACAAGGAAATCGTGGCAGTTAATGAGTCGAACGCGAAATTTCAAGCGATAACCGCAGTAATTAAGACCCCAAGCGGTGGCAACAGGCGCTTAAAAATTATAATATGCATACGGACATGGAATCTGTGCATGTATCACCCTTATCTGCGCATGCCTCAAACTGCCCTACGATTACCTATGATTAAGGATTTTTGACAGAATCCCAAACGTCAGGAAAATAAAACTCTTGCTCCAGTGGTCGCATCTTCTTGTTCTCTATAAAATATATGTGAATTTGTAAAAGGATTGAAGCTGTACCAATAATTACGTCGAGTTAAGTAGTGATGTGTTATGGAGCGTGGATGTTGTTAGCATTCAAAAAAGGATACATTTCTAGCATGTTGTCTTACGCTGCAGGGTAATCATTACTGCAATTCACATGAAGGTATCCATTGGAATAAAAATCAGTGGTAGCGAGATAGGTCGGCTGAGAAGAGCAAAAGTCAGTAACCGGTATTATACATCACGCATTTTTTGAACATTTTAGTCTAGTTGAGGGGCA